TGGATTCAAAATAATCCCAGCCACCCTGCTTATTTCCAGCCTGAGCAGCAACAAATGGAATCCCATCTCCCCACCCCGATTTCTTTTTGGATAAATCAACTTTAAAACAAAAAAAACCAAAAGACCAGGAAGAGATAGGAGTCCCCCACGGCCCCCTTTTCATGGTGGCCATGTCATTCAAAATGGTTAACGCTGCTGGCCTTTAAATGCAACTCAGCCATTCCTCTGTTATCAACTCAACAATCAAAGCGTTAAGAGGCTGCATTCTGTTACTGGGCTGGTCTGAGGGGCTCTGCCTGAGCTCTACCCAGGGCAAAAAGGGTCCCCCCCCCCGGAAAGGACATTTTATATATTCAAAGGCCTTGTGAGACCCGGTTTTTCCTTTACACAAAAAAGGGGATGCACAACGCTGTTACTATGAATTAAGATTGCTCACCTTCCGTGCTGAAAATTCACCCACCGATGGAGAACCCACCATGAGCAGGATTGGTGGGAAATGGCCGGTGGGTCACCCTCGCAGTAACCACGGGCCACTTGAGAAAGAATGACATGTCAGTGCTGTGAAGGATGCCTGGACCACCTCTACCGCCCTTCAAGAGAGCCTCTTTGGTGGGAGACGGGCCTTCCCTCGAGGCTAGCCTTCTGGGGGTGGCAGGTGAAAAAAAGCCACAGCGCGACCGCGACAGAGTTGACTCTCACCCGGGCCCAGGCAGAGAGGAAGGCCGACGCTTCTTCTCCCTTGGTGGGTGTGCATTTGCACCCACTTCCCGCTGCCTCTGCCCGGCGATTCGGGTGCCCAACTTGAAGCCCCTTTGTTCCCTCCTCCTTTGACCAACTCTCCGAGCTGTTCCATTTCAGGGAAAGAAAAGCCACCGGAAAGATGCGAACACACCCCTGCACGTTCCCAGGGCATCCCCTCCCCCCAGGGCAGGACCTGCAGGAAATTCACGGTTGGACCCTTTGGTGGTCCTGTTGGGTTTGAGGCCTGAGCTTGCATGTTCTCTGTGATCCATAAACATTTGGCTTTTGTGGGTACAGGTTGCAGCTGTACCTTTTATGTGCTGGGACGGGCATGGCTGACGCAGGGCTGCGGGGTAAAGATGAGGGGCTGTTCAACAGGTACAGAGAGAGAGCGGGGGGGGCACCTCTCTTGGCCTCTGAGCAGAGGGGGGAGCTCGGGGTGTGCAGCCTGACGGAGCCACAACTGTCCCCCTTCTGGAAGACGACCCCCGGAGAGGGGGTGGGTGGGCGCGTGCATCTGAGTCCCCCCCCCCGCTGCCTGCCTTTCCAAAGGAGCCGCCCAGGGGTTCCCTTCCCCCACGCCTGACTTTTGGAAAGGTTAATCGAATGCATTTCTCCGTACATTCGTGCATAGACTAGAATTAGATCAGCCGATGTGAAAACATTCCCACGGTTTTGACTTACTGAAGAGAAATAAGCAAAATGTTGCCTCCCGCCCCCATCCTCTTGCATTACTTCACCCACAGCGGCCTGAAGGGCCGAAAAGGAGTGACAGCAGACCTTCGATTCCTTGTTTGACAGTTCTTTGTAACCTAGACCCACCTGTAATTTTCTCTCTCCTTGTTTACCTCTGAAAACAACAGAAGCAGGCTTCCTATGTTGCCCCCAATCTGGGAGGACGTGGCGGGGGGGGGGAAGAGAGAGAGAGAGAGAGAGAGTGCGGATGTTGCTCCTTGAGCTTTGCTGTGTGTCATGACAAGAGCCCCTTCAGTTCCACAAAGGAAAAGCTGGGAAACGGGTCAAACCAACGGCAAACGGCGTGCCTTTGCTGCCCTCCCCTGTAGGAGGAAGGAAAGGCCCCAGCTGCTCCGGCGCAGCTGAGCACCCGAGGAAGCCAAACAGGTCCCAGGTAAGGGAGAAAAGGAGGCCGGTCAGCAATCCCGAGAGAGCCTGGGACCAGGGCCAGGTTGGTCCCGAGCAGGTAGGCTGCGTGGATGGAGGAAGGCATCTCTCCTTTGAGGGAGAGAGAGAGCGAGAAAGAGAGAGAAAGTCTCTTTTTTCCAGGCTTCAGTTTATTCAACTCCGTTTCTGCACGGAGTGCCCGGCCTCCCACAAACCCTGCTGTGTAAATCATGGGCACTTTTGCAAATCTTTCTCTCAGATAAAACAGAGCAGGGGGCGGCACAAAGCACTCTCCCCCCCATGCACGCACACGCACACGCACACGCACACGCACACGCACATCTTTCTCTCAGATAAAACAGAGGAGGGGGCAGCACAAAGCACTCTCCCCCCCCTGCGCGAATTACACACACACACACACACAGGCGCTGGACACTCATGCTTGGCAAGTGACTTTGCTGTATTTTACACACAGGCAGACCTGCCTTTATGCTCCTCCCTGGCGCTGGACACTCATAATGCTTGGCAAGTGACTTTGCTGTATTTTTTGGGGGGGTGGCTGGGGGGGTGTCAAACAACAGTAAATAGGCTCCAACTAAAAACTGCAAGGAAAAAAAAACTCAACAAAGGCCAATTCAAGAAACTTCAGAAGAGGCTCTGCCCATGGATAATTAACTGTGATGTCTTTCTAAAAACAAGAATAATTGAAAACAGGGGCTTCCAGTTGATTCATGGAGACTTCTCTGAGATATTTATTATTGGAAGGCCACAAGCCCTGCCCGTCTCCATCCCTGGGAAGGGCGAAACTTCAGGGTCCAGATGTTTGTTTCAGTTGCTCCCACATAGTTCTGAAGTCCCTTCGCAGAGGTTATCAGGGAGCAGGGGCTGTGAATCTTCCTTGACGAATATTCTCATTTCTCCTCCAACTTTGATGTTTGCTTTCATTAAAATTCCTGGCCCTTTGCCACCCCAAAGAGAAGAAAACGGCTTAGCTTGCAAAAAAGAGGGAGTGGGGGGGGCGTACGCACACATGACACACAGCCCCTCCTTCCGCCTGAAGAGAGCCTGCATTTATCATCGGCCATCATTAAAACCTGGCTGTTAATTGGGGTACTGACACTCAGGAGAGCTTAAAATGAAACATTATAGATATGAAGGAAACCAAGGAATAGATAAGGTGGCAGTCCATGGCCGTGGGGGTTCAGAAAGGATGTCCACCAAATTAATTGGAAGTTAGAGAATTTCTCCACTTAACCTGATTGATGCTTTTCTTTCTTTTTTTAAAGCAAAGCAGAATGTCATTAAGGAGACCCGCTTAGGAGCAGAAGCCCTGCTGGAAAGCAAAGAGAAGGGGCGGATTTGAGGCACCCTGAAAGCTGGTGGCACTGAAATGTCCCAACGTGTGGAGAACCAACCAACCCAGCAGGGTAGAAAAAGGCTTGACTGCGCACAGAGACCGCCAGTCCAGCAGAGGTTAAAGGAGGCACGTCGCTCTGAAGACCAAGGGCGACAGCCTAATTCAGAGGCAAACCGTTGGCAGCCTTCCAGGTGCTCTGAACGACAAACCCCATGAGCCCCATCAGTTACCCATCAGTGGCTGTGGCTGATGCAGCTGAACAAGGAGACCTCCTGTGATCCAGTATCAGGGACCCACATCAGAAAAGCACATGTGTGTCTGTGTGTGTGTGCGTGCAAAGGGGAGGAGGAGGAGGAGGAGGAAAGACAGCAGAGGGTCTGGAAAGGCACGGGTAGAAGCTGGGCGTAGCTAGCCTGGAGAAGACAAGACAAGGCCCTCCCCCAGATGGCAGGGTGGCTGCTCCGGAGGAAGCGACCGGAACCGACAGAGAAGGGATCCCCACAACACGGGAGGAGAAGCAGCCTGGCAGCAAGAGCCTCGGGACTGGTCGATCCCTTTCGGCCTCTCACAACCCACCTGGGAGCTTGGCTGCCTTCAGAGAAACAAGGCATGCCACGTCTCTTCCACTCGTGGTTTTGGTGATTACCAGTAGGTTGGGGAAAAGATTCCCCCCCCCCACACACATACACACACACAGGGAGGCAGGCGTCTCCTCCCTGCCTATCCGGCTCTGATCTAAGAAACTGGAAGGAGGACCTTTTCCAGGCATACCTATGAGCAAAATGGCATTGCACTTAAGATTTTATTAGGGTCACTCAGGGTTCTGTAATGGATCAAGCCAGGCATCATTTTTAATTGCATCTACTAGTCATTAAAATGCTCGATGTGTGCAAATTTATCAAGGCCAAAATGGGGGGGGGGAGGGGGGCTCCAACCAATTTTAATGAAGAGATGGTAAAAATGAAAAAGCTGTGTGTCTACAGAGCCCTCCCTTTATTTTGTACCATGTTCATATTGTTGGAGCTGGAGCTGTCTGGGAAGCTGCACTGCCTCTCAAGGAAGGGGGCACCAGGAGGGAACGCCTTCTCCCAGCTGCTGAACTCCCTCCCCACTCAATGCTATGGGGCCAGCGCTCTCTGAGCTGATGCCCTCTAGTACGGCAACATCCCAAACTCCCCAGTCAGAGTACAGGAGCTAAACCCTCTAGAGCATGTCAGATAACCACCAGGAGGTCCAGCCAGTCTAACGGATCAGGGCAGGCTCAGCAGAATGGGCTTTTCCTGGTACAGACAGTGTGCAGAACAGGCTTTTCCTACTATACAGTGGACCCTTGACTTACAGCACCAGAGCAGATGGTTCAGACTTCAACACCCAGAACCCCTTAGGACTGGCTGGGCTGGCCAAGGGTCAAAGGCCATGACATCTAGCAGACTGAGGACCACTGGCCTGGATGTCTCAAACAGGAGCTAACCCGAGCATGTCAGATAACCACCAGGAGGTCCAGCCAGGCCCGCGGATTAGGGCAGGCTTAGCAGAATGTGCTTTTCCTGGTATAGACGGTGTGCAGAACAGGCTTTTCCTACTATACCAGCCAGGACGTCTTTTCTCCACCAGAGCAGATGGTTCAGACTTCAACACCCAGAACCCCTTAGGACTGGCTGGGCTGGCCAAGGGTCAAAGGCCATGACATCTAGCAGACTGAGGACCACTGGCCTGGATGTCTCAAACAGCCCCCTGGTTCAGTGGTCCTATCCCCGATTTTAAGACATGTAGAAATATATAGGAAGAGCAAGAACTTTTAATATAAAAATATAAACATCTTTTACACACATTAGCGTCCCACATTTGCCTGGCACAAGCCCAGGAAAGCCAGGTTGCTCCTGCACATCTGCTTTTTCTGAGCAGGATCTCTGCCTCTTAGACCAGAGGTGTGACTGTCCAAGCCCACCGAGACCGGAGGCCACCACAGACCTCTTCCCCATTGTACGAGCTCCCCACCCGTGGCCCATGAACCCCACGCCCGTGCAAGGTTCTGTGTGAGCAACAAGCAAGGGGACCCTAATCCTTGGGTGTTCCCTGGTGACACCGAGGCCTCTGGCAGCTCAGCAACTCATGGCGAAGATGCAAGATGACAGGGGGACCCCCTCAGTTTTTTTTTCCACATTTAGAGTCAGAGTCCCTATGAAGGAGGACGCCAGACCCACACCTGCACACCCAGAGTCTGCTTTGGCCTCAGTCCTCAGCGGAGCTGCAGCCCTCCTCGTCCTTCACTTCCCTGTAGCCGGCAGCCATCTCCCCCTCTGGTTCATAGCGGTCCATCCGAATGCCAAGCTTTTCAGCAAGCTTTTGGGCAGCCAGCTTTGCTTGCATTTCCTGCCAGAAGAATAGGACAGACAGCAGGTTAAACATTAGGAGACGTGTGACAGAGAATTCATGACAAACTGAGTCACATTCAGTTGCTTTGTTGGTTAATAAAATGCTGGAAGCAGGATAGCCTGCTGTGGAGGACAATTCTTTCAATGGAAGTGTTCAGAGAAAAAAGTCTAGGCAAGCCAATGTTCACCTAAATAGAACACGTCGCTCTTCATGGCAAGGAAAGGGAGCAGGGTTTGGAGAGAGGGGACCCTCGTAATATGTCACCTGGTTAGAGAGGAACAATCACAAATGTGATTCTTAACGTAGGTCCACAAAAACAAACAGTCCCTGCACCTGTTGCTCCATTTTATGAATGTCCTCACCTGGTGCCGACACTATTCTGATTTCTCCACCACGCCAACCTTCCTTTTCTGTGGCATTTTAAGCTGCATGATTATTTTAATGCATTTTCTCTGGCTGTTCTTTAATTATTTAAATAGTATTGCAAAAACAAATTGCACTGTATTTTACTATTTTGTCTTTGCGTAGTGCACCCACAGAACCTTTGTTACTGGACTGATTAAAAATATAATAAAAACACCAATGTCGAAGCAAACCAAACACGTTGTCCATGAGAAAACATGCTGTGAGATTCCTCAAGCCCAAGCAAAAGTAAGGCAAGGAAAGCGACGGTTCTCATTGCCAAAGTATCTGATTTGCCCTAAATGCATTCCCGTTTCCCTCAGAGGAGCAAAGTACACATAGACATGCGAAGAAACCAAGCAGAGAGAGAGAGAGAGAGAGAGGCCAGCTGGTTGTTCAGAAGGGTTTGCAAAAACAAAACAAAACCCTTCAAGGCCCATGCAACAAAAGCCCCTTAAAGCAAGATGTTCTGGACAGTAGCTGGAGGAGGAGGATGCTGACTGGCGCTCCCTTTTGCTCTCCAAGAGTGCCGGGCAGAGCAAACGCACACTGCCACCACCTGTCGTGAACTCTGTTGCCTTGCCCTTCCTCCGACAGGATTTCCCTGAGAAGGTATCCAGAGCCCAGGCCAAGCATCAACGTAATGGCTCCTACCTCATACGCTTCTTTCTGCTGGACCTGGATGGTGATTGATTCTTCTATGGAGAGCAGCTTTGTAGGCTCGTGATGAAGGGGCGGCAGGCGCGCGGCTGTGATATCATCCAAGTGCTTCTTATCCCTGCGGCGTCTTTCTTCTGCGGAAACGGAAGAGGAGGGAACTCCGGGGGAAGGAATCTCTGGGGAGCCACAAGACGAGCTACATGAGTCGGCCGGCAATCTATGAGGAAGCAAAAGCTCAAAAGTAATCTGCCAAGAAGCCTGCCCAGAGCGACATTCTGGTGGATGGGGCCACACGTTGAAAGAGTTACTGCGGGGGGTGGGGTGAGGGGGGGTGGGTTCTGATTCAAGCCCTAGAAGATGTCTGAGTCATCCCACCCTCTCCCTCTTTTGTCCGGACATGTGAAATCTAAAGAAAACAATGAAATATTCAACTCGCATATTGTTTTATGCTTTTAACATTGTTTCTTCTTAATGTTGCTAACCACCCTGGGTACTTTTTTAGGAGAAAACCAGGGCAAAAATATTTTAAATAAACAAAGGCAGGCATGCATATATACATACATAGTTTAAAAAAATATAAGCACACTTATTTATTTATTTGTTTGTTTGTTTATTATTTAACTTATATGCCGCCCACTCTACCCAAAGGTCTCTGGGCGGCTTACAACAATTAAAATTCAATTAAAATACAATAAAAGATAAAATGATTAAAATACAATTAAAAATTGCCATCAGGACCCACAGCTGATGTTATTTCAATTAAAAGCCTTCTAGAACAGGAAGGTTTTGACCTGGCGCCAAAATGTCCTCAACATCGGCGCCAGACGCATTTCAGTCAGGAGGGCATTCCATAGTCTAGCAGTGTGCAATCCCATAAGAGCAGTCAGGGATTGCAGTGGGACCCACATTTTCTGTACCTGTTTCTCTCTCTTCTACAAAGGTATGCATTAATGAACCCAGGATAAAGAAAACAGGTGCTAGCTAGCTTGTTTAAAATGCTACCTACTGCCTAAATCCAACTGCTGGTTCCAACTGGAGCAGACCGATTCAGTCAATGGGATTTACAGACCTGTTAACTATTTAGCAATTGATTTAGCAGGTCTGTTCTAGCTGGAACTAGAAGTTCAGTTTAGGCTCACATGTTATCGAAAGAAAATATTTTCACCTCCTCCCACCCCAACCTGAGCCTGCCCAGTATGTGAAACACATACTTGTAGTATAATAACAAAAACTGCCATCCAGGAGACAGTCTTGTCTGTGGTACTTACAAATTGGTTTTAAACTTGCTTCTCTTAGTCACTGGGTTCTTCGCTCTCATTTCTAGGACCTCAATGTAATGCGGGGTTCTGGGTGCAGTGTCTGGAACTCTCTGAAAAGGATTGGCTTCACTTTTGGCCGTCTCTCCTTTATCAACGTTTCCCTCTTCTTCTCTCCCTCTGATGGAAAATCTTCCAAAGGCTGCACTTAACTCCTCATTGCAGACTGTGGCCAAAGTGTCCGTTTTACTCACAAGAAGATCCCCAAGAGGTCTCTGTGCATCTCCTGGTGTTCCGGTTGCAGGTCTCTCTGAAGCCTTCTTGCTTCCTTCAGTGACACCGGCGGCCTCAGGTGCTTCCTCTGGCCGTTCGCTGCTGATGCTGCCAGGTGGACCTTTACCAGTACGAGCTGAATTTTCATGCCCTGAGTGGCGGCTGCTGCCGAGGATGTTTGGCTTGCTGGATTCAATGGCCTCTTGTTTCTTCTGGAACTCTAATCTAACTGCCGATAACAGCTCAGCAGTTCTGTTCAGCCCTTCTTCTTGAGCTATAGCAACCTTCAGCTTTTCAACGAAACTGGAGATCTTTTTACCTTTATCTGGAAGCCTGGATATAAATTTCCTACAAAAATAATGGTTTGTAATCACACAAACGAGGTAAAGCCAACTTACTCCCGACACCTCCGCGTGCAAGCAGGAATAATGGTTTGCAATCACACAAACAAGGTAAAGCCAACTTACTCCTGACACCTCTGCGTGCAAGCAGTTACCATGGGATGTTCCCTTCCAAACGCTCTCTGCCCTGCCGGACACAAGATCCCTGTGCCAGGGAGGGGAAGGGCCTCCGCTCTGTGGTAACCCCCCCCCCCCAATTGCTTTGCAGGAGGAAAGCCCCAGGTGCAAACAGGGCCTGGGCAACTCCTGCTGAAACCTGCCAGCCAGAGATGGCAACCCTGGGCTAGAGGCGGGAGGGAGAGCCTGGCTCAGTCGGCATCCCTCTGCCTCCTATTCTCAGGCGCAACTGAAACGGGGGCTTTCCTGTCCCAATTCCTGACTCTACATGGAGAGGCCCCCAGGTTCAAATCCTGACAGCTCTAGGGAGGGGGGGGGAAAGACCCACGCTCGGAACTGGGGAGAGGGGGCCGCCCGTCGCTCTCCCGCCCCCAGATCTCCTCAGGGGCCAGCTTAGCGCAACTTGAACCCATGGCTCCGTGGCCATCATCATCCCCACTAGGAATGAACAGCAGGGGGGGGGAAGGCTTTCAAGGCACCCCAACC